AAGTTGCCATTGTGCGTGACCTGCCTGTAAAGCAACAACAAGTCAACTTACCAGGGAATGCTTTGAACTTCCCATGGAACTTTGAAAGAAGACCTAGGTATATCGATAGAGTCTTGAACGCTGATTACAAATAGGGACACTAAAACTGCTACGTGAACTTTCTTTGAAAGTTATGAGCCTTCAAAGTTGGCAAGAAGCGGACGCCATTTCATGAGAACAGCTAAGCGCTGACGAGGCAGGTGGCGGCGGCGCAGTGGTAGAGCTCTCGCTCTGCAGGCGGTTGGTCGTGGGTTTGCTCCCGGCCGGAGCGAAAGTTTTTGCACACTGTTTTTCGTAATCCAGCAAGGGCTGTTATTCCATTTTTTTCATTCATTCAAACAGGCGCCTTATGTGAGCGGGTAGTTCAAATGTTTGACGCGGAGTTGACTATTTCGTCAATGGTGTAGAGGCAGCATCAATAAAATGCGCGATTTGCGAACAACACGTCTGCTTCTCACATTTTTTTGCGTCGCTTCATCAGTGTTGAATGAGGTCTCCATTTGTAATTGTTTGGAGTTATTATCTTATTCCCTCGATGTGCAAAATAAATGCTTTATGTATAGATGAGCTAGCCCATCTTCGAGGAGCGTAGATAACAAGCGTAAGCGGGAGTCGTTACCAAATACTAATGGAATAGAAGTCAAAAATCGGAATAACAGCCCTTGCTGGATATGAAAAACAGTGTGCAAAAACTTTCGCTCCGGCCGGGAGCAAACCCACGACCAACCGCCTGCAGAGCGAGAGCTCTACCACTGCGCCGCCGCTACCACGGCTCGTCAGTGCTTAGCTGTCCCATGAAATGGCGTCCGTTTCCTTGCCAACTTTGAAGGCTCACAACTTTCTTAAGAAAGTTCACGTAGCAGTTTTAGTGTCCATATTTGTAATCAGCGTTCAAGACTCTATCGATATACCTAGGTCTCCTTTCAAAGTTCCATGGGAAGTTCAAAGCATTTCCTGGTAAGTGGGGCTCGGTCTGTGTACTGTATTTTTGGGGTGTAAAG